ATAGTAAATGCATTACCTAATATAGTTATCTAAGAAAACCTTATTGTAAAGTGTGTCCAACATGGGATTTAAAACTTAAACATTGACTGGTTAATATTTTACTCAAATTCAGCATTTTTAAGAATGTATTTAATAATATTTTTGATTTTATTTGTCTTTTTAGCCAGTACTTTAAAGTTTTAGTTATTGTTTATTATTATTATTATTATTATTAATAATAATTTATTTTTATATATTAAATAACTCAATTTAGCTTTAAAACATTTTATGTAATTTAAATTTTTGCAATTTTTAGTACTTTGATTTTAGACCATGCGCCGCGGCGCAGAGCGCACTGACCACACGTCATTATTATTGCTCATTTATTAGTTTTCTGGAAATTAGAACTGAATTTAGAAATAGTTTTGAAACAAATCTTTGCGCTTGACAAACTAAATTAAATATGTAGGCTGATTGATGTCTTCAGTGGAGTGTGTACAACACCATATACTTATCCACAAAAGTAAAGGAGTAAAATAAAGAGTAAAAGTAAAATAATGAGACAGTAAAGAGGCAGAATGGAGGAGGCTCGTTCTTTATCCTTGCGCTGCAGATAGTCTGTGTAACTGTTTTCTCTCTAGTAATGCATTCAGTTTTTCCACTAACAAAGTCCGCCATGTAAATAGCAAATGTGCCATGGTGTGACGCATCTGACTCTTAAAGAGAAAGTGAAATGAGACTCTGATTGGTGTAATGCCCGTAATGCTCAAAACACACCCATAACTCATTACAAGAATAAGCTCAACCCTGTTAGACCATGCACCAGGCTGCACTTTTTTCTGTACTTAAAATAGCAAAGTGGACACACCCTTAGACTTTGGGCCTAGATCAATAAAATAAAGCCTGCAGTCTTTAAATGTCTCTTAATCAGGGCAAATCATTGGAATTAACTAAAGTCAGACATGATTTTAATATCTCATTGAGAGGGTTAAATTATAGCTAACTTAGCCTATAACTCCTGTGGGTCTGGCTTACAATACTGATTTACTTACCATAAGAAGTTTTAAGGAAGCCTTTTCCCCTTCTTTGTCTCTTCCTTTTTTATCTATTTATTTTACTTGGAAGCAGATGAAAGAGACTGGCTGTCAGTACTTTATCCACATCTTTAATCTTACAGCATGCCACTTGTGTTGTGTTTTAAGCCCCGGTGAAAAGTGGGACAAATTAAGGTGCTTTATAGCTTCAATCTCGTCATTTAAGCAATTTCACTGAGAGAGGAAAAAAAAGAGTAACAGTTAATGTCTTACACTCACCCCAATACTGCGTTTACTCAGAAACAAATGGACTCCAGCACAGAATAGACTTCAATTTGTGAGAAACATGGTTGGGGACGGCACATTGTTCTCCTCAGCCATAGACATGTGGCATATTCAATAAGGGAATCTGTACTCCATTTGTCCGACAGAGGTCTAAATCTTCGCTCCGTATACACCATGGCACCCCCTGTGTCCTCCGGGACCACCTAACAGTGACAGTGAATGAATTTAGCGGGGAAGGGTGTAATTTGTCCACAGCAATAATATGGAGTGGTCCGCTCTGCAGGCGGCGGGCCGTAATATAGCTTGCTGTAATGTAGAGAAACAGTCGCCCTCCGGGGTTCAATAACTGCTTATTACTCCTGCCTCCACTTCAGAAGCATCGCCGTCCTCATCAGCCCGGTGGCCTCCCACATTATAACTCCGTGCTGCGCTATCGACTGGACTTTCTGTTATTCGCTAAGCCTGTTGAGCAAATACCCTGTTTGTGGTCATGGTTCCACAGGTCTGTGATCTAATAGATGATGTTAGGGAATTGTCCTCGCCAGATCTCATTTGTCTTCATATAGAGGCTACTGGGGCGAAGGCAAGCTGGTCAGTTTTTGGCAACAGGTTCTAATGACATCTTGATGAAACTAGCATTGTTCATTTGTTTTTTTGCTTTTCTTGTTTTATAAGATAGTTCCCATAAAATGAACTGCTGAAGCAAAAACTGTTTTAGTGGTCTGATCACTGAGTTTAAGTTATAGTTTGGAAAAATAATTGTTGGAAAATTTCTTCAGTATATATTAAATATGCAGTGTGCTGTATATATAATATACACTCACCGGCCACTTTATTAGGTACACCTTACTGTTACCGAGTTGGACCCCCTTTTGCCTTCAGAACTGCCTTAATCCTTCGTGGCATGGATTCAGCAAGGTACTGGAAATATTTCTCAGAGATTTTGATCTATATTGACATGATAGCATCACATAGTTGCTGCAGATTTGTTGGCTCCTGTTCCACCACATCCCAAAGGTGTGCTATTGGATTGAGAATATGACGTGGCACGTTATCCTGCTGGAAGTAGCCATCAGAAGATGGGTACACTGTGGTCATAAAGGGATGGACATGGTTAGCAACAATACCTACAGTAGGTAGGCTGTGGAGTTGGTACAATGCTCAATTGGCACCAATGGGCCCAAAGTGTGCCAAGAAAAATATCCCCACACCATCAATCACCGTTGATAAAAGGCAGGATGGATCCATTCTTTCATGGTGTTGATGCCAAATTCTGTTGTGGTCTTCTGCTGCTGTAGCCCATCCGCCTCAAGGTTGGACATGTTGTGCATTCAGAGATGCTCTTCTGCATACCTACAAGTGGTTATTTGAGTTACTGTTGCCTTTCTATCAGCTGTAACCAGTCTGGCCATTCTCCTCTGACCTGTGGCGTCAACAAGGCATTTGTGTCCATAGTACTTTTACTCTCTGTAAACCCCTAGAGATGGTTGTGCTTGAAAATTCCAGTAGATCAACAGTTTCTGAAATACTCATACTAGCCCGTGTGGCACAAACAACCATGCCACCTTCAAAGTCACTTAAATCAACTTTCTTACCCATCCTGATGCTCGGTTTGAACTGCAGCTGATCGTCTTGACCATGTCTACATGCCTGAATGCGTTGGGTTGCTGCCATGTGATTGGCTGATTAGATATTTCTGTTAATGAGCAGCTGGATAGGTGTACCTTATAAAGTGGCCGGTGAGTGTATGCTTATATAAATGAAAATAGACAACTTACAGTCTTTTAATCTGTGTTTTTATTATCAACACAACCAATAATGAATGTCCTTTTATGGTCAACACTTAAAATGCACTTAAACGCACATAAGTGTAATTAGATTGCAGGGAATTAAACAGACTTTATTTCAGTCACTCAAGGACAACATATCTTAAATGTATTTTTACAGTAATTGTTCTAGAATTATTGTCATCAGATCTTATTTGTCTTCATGTTGAAGTGGGGTTCTGGGTTTTCTGCCGATGCTGTACTTGAACACTGAATGATTTTACAAGATTTTAATAGTTTTCTTGCTCACATTGAATGCAATTTGCTCTCTATGTTATGTTTCACAAAGTTCAGTTTAATGACTGTGTTCTCTTCTACTGTGTGCACTTCAAACACTTTAGTTTTTCAGCAACAGCTTTTCTAATGACACCTTGATGAAACTAGCTTCAGAACTTTTTCAAATCACTTGTGTTTTATTTATTTTGTCAATTTATTTCCATGCATAGTGCGCAGAATGATTTACTAAATGATTTACTGAATGATTTAACGAATGAAATGCTGCTTACTGTGTATTTTTGGACAAACATTTTTAATTTACATAGTTTAGTTTAAAGCTTTATTAATCCCCTTGGGGCAATTCATTTCGAGATGGTGGTGCTTTACATATAGTATAACAAGAATGACACACTTAACACAATAAACATCAACACTTAACAGCAAGTTTAAAAAACATATAATAATCCATCGATTAACTTAATTGATTACATAACCTAATTGCTTCAGGCACAAAAGTAAATTGATAACGATTTGTGGAACATCTTATTGTCCTTAGACGTCGACCAAGGGGCATCCACTCAAAATGTTTATTTAGGGTGTGTGTGCTGTCTCCTAGTATTTTACGTGCCATCCTCAACACCTGCTGTTCGTAATAGTATGCAAGACTTTGCAGGGAAACTCCCAAAATCTTTGAACACAAATTAACGATGCCTTGAAGACGATTCTTGTTTTTTATGGACAGTGAAGAAAACCAACAAATAAAGGAAAAGGATGAAATACTTTCAATAAATGAATTGTAAAAGGTCTTAAGAGTAACTTTCTCTACATTAAAAGAGTTGAGTTTCTGCAATTAAAGCAGTCTTTGATGAGCCTTATTAACAATTGTAGGTGTATTTTGATCAAATTTCAACCTGTTGTCAATAATTGTTCCTAGGTACCTATATTCCTCCACAACCTCTACCTGTGCGTCATTGATTAGCACCCTTTATAGAGCAGGTGTTTTTTTTTGCCAAAGTTGATAAGCATTTCTTTGGTTTTTGACACATTCAGGTCTAGTCTCATTTTATTACACCATGAGATAAAATCATAAAGGACTGAACCATATTCCTGGTCTGAGTGAATATTATATATTCCGAGCCTATAACATTTTTCTCCTATACCAGACACAGAAACTGCTATCTTTGGTGTTTCAGAACACTCCGTCACCCTTCCAAAACAAGCCAAGGCATGACTGTGGCCAAGCAGCTAATACAAAAAAAAAAAAAAAAAGGAAATCTTCTTTACGTCCTCTATTTTGAATCTGCTTAATAGGTATGGCCTCCATCATCCATTTGGAAAAGCTTCAATGTATGAGGTCCAATTCTACTGTAAAACTCTTTGCTACCTGGGAACCCTTTCTTGGATACTTAGACCTGAAACATGCTCAATCCAAATCCAGCATCCCTCTTGAAAACTGACTGGCATACTATCTTTTTGATGACTGCATACTCATACTCTCTTCCAACAGCTGAACCCACATCTATGACAAATGATATTGTAAAACGTGTATATTCTTAGACAATGTTGTTTGTTTGTTCTGTTGTACTTTAAAAACTTTCAAATAATAGTATAAAAAAATAGCAGTTTTGTGGTCTGATCAGTCTCTCTTATTCTTCTCTATAGTGTGTCCTGGCACTGATAACAAGCTCAGCACGCTGTCGGATTTGGACCAGCAGTACAAAACTCTTCGTAAGTTCTACGAGAACTGTGAGGTGGTCATGGGTAATCTGGAGATCACCAGTATTGAGAGAAACCGCAACTTGTCTTTCCTCAAGGTAAGTACTAACACTGATAGATACACCTAAAACTTCCTGGTGAAACTCGGAAATGAGTAAAGTACACTAACGAAACTACAATCTAGGTTTCACAGGGGGACAGCAAGTAACACATTGGGCCCTATCAAACAGTTTACTAGTTTCAGCCTAGGGCAGGTATCATTTTCACAATAGCTGTCACATTGTATAGCAAATACCTTTGTGCTAATATGTGTGGCCATGGGGGTGCTGTTGTGAAATGAGATGTTTTAAAGTGCATTGTTGTGGCATTGCTATTTTGAGGCAACTGAAATTGACCACAACATTGACCAACTAAAGTCTAAAGGGTTTGTGTTTGCTATCCAAAGAACACGATAGTAATAGGTGGTTCCAAAATGCATGTACAAGTTGCTTATTACACACACATGGATGCACAGCAGCACACCAATATATTTAAATATGAAAAATTGAAGGATTAAAATGTAAACAATTATTATTGTCTACATAAATGTAAAACTGTTACCTCCCCCCATGTCTTCTTCACCTCAGGGGGCTTTGGTAAAATTAATTTCCATTTATTTATAGATAGATAGATAGATAGATAGATAGATAGATAGATAGATAGATAGATAGATAGATAGATAGATAGATAGATAGATAGATAGATAGATGATAGATAGATAGATAGATAGATAGATAGATAGATAGATAGATAGATAGATAGATAGATAGATAGATAGATAGATAGATAGATAGATAAATAGATAGATAGATAGATAGATAGATAGATAGATAGATAGATAGATAGATAGATAGATAGATAGATAGATAGATAGATAAATAGATAGATGATAGATAGATAGATAGATAGATAGATAGATAGATAGATAGATAGATAGATAGATAGATAGATAGATAGATAGATAAATAGATAGATGATAGATAGATAGATAGATAGATAGATAGATAGATAGATAGATAGATAGATAGATAGATAGATAGATAGATAGATAGATAGATAGATAGATAGATAGATAGATAGATAGATAGATAGATAGATAGATAGATAGATAGATAGATAGATAGATAGATAGATAGATAGATAGATAGATAGATAGATAGATAGATAGATAGATAGATAGATTGATTGATTGATTGATTAGATCAGAGATCCCCAAACTAAGGCCCGCGTGCCAAAGTTAGCCCTTGGTAACCTTCAATTTGGCCCACCATGTCATTTTGAAAGGGAGGTAATTTCTTTTTGGTAGTTTGTTTTTTTGTTAAGTTACAAAAAAGCTAACTGAAATGAAATGTTTCAGTTAAAAGTTGTAATTGAATCAAATAAAAAAAAAACAACAACAACAAAAAAAAAGCAATACACTGTGACTGATGGATAGAATATATATTATATTAATTGAATGAATGATGTTTTTATTCTAATAAGTTTATTATAAAATGTAAAAAAAATTCTACTGCATTATTAATTATGATTAAGTGCATTTATTTATTAATAGTATGAAATAAATTTAAAAATGACCATACATTACCATACATTACTATATACAACTTAATTATTTCATGTTTAATCCACTTAAATGTGTTAACTTGATTGATTTGTGTTAGGACAACCCCAAATGAATTGTGTGGAACCCTGAATTTATTACAGTGCAGTTTGGTATATGTAACTTTGGCCCACAGTCCTCAATCAAATTTGCTTTTTGGACCTTCATAACGAAAGGTTTGGGCACCCCTAGGATGGATAGATAGATAGATAGATAGATAGACAGACAGACAGACAGACAGACAGACAGACAGACAGACAGACAGACAGACAGACTGATCTTATCTGGGATTTTATCTTTGCACCTTGTTATTATAATGTCACAAATGAACAAAATATAGTGCATTATTATGTGTGACTAACAGAAGACTATATAAATATATAAATAGCAGAAGACTATTTACTCTCAATATGAACACTCTAGTGACATGACATTAGTGAGCAAGCCATGCTGTATTTCTGGATTTCAAAGGCAGTTGGGGCTTTTAGCAGTCTTTTGTACGGGTGCTGCAATTACTGGTAACACTGATGGTTAAATAGCTCTTTTACATTTGCATTAATGGATGCTACTCTTCTCTCCGTTTCCAAGCTTGGAGTAAGTGCAGAAACAGAGCAAATAGATTGTATGTGTGCTTTGTTTTCACATTAAAACCAGCTGTATTTCTTTATTTTGAGAGAAATCAACTGGCTTCAGAGTCTGTGATTAGGTTTGTTCTTTTTCATACTGGTTCTAATGTATCAGGATGGAAATATGGAAACAGTACGTGAAAACGAAATGTGCAGTTTGAGGCAGGATCCCATGGGGAGCGTATTTGGCTGTGAAATGTGTAAATGTGTCACTGGGTTACACTGTTTTGATGGGCCCTTTTAGAAATGATTCTGACTATAAGTGACTTTGCTTTTACTGTACATGTACTAACTCTCATTACAGTATTAGTAATTGTATAAGTAAACTGTTACAAGAGGCTTAAAATAAGTTGGCAACCATACAAAGATACTTATACAGGCAGCTGGGAGAGCTTTTCTTTTTCTGGATAGCTTTTGAAAACACTGTTAATTGAGTTTAGGGTCGGTACGTCAGTCAGCTGACAGCGGCCTCTGGTGGATTTACACAAGAACAGTAGACTTAAATGGCACTTGCGAGAGAAATTTGAGATCTCAAAAAGCATACACAGCGGCCTCTGGTGGATTTGCAAAAGCAAAAACGGCAAAAAAACATACCCCCTTGCACATATTTGGCGCTCTCCAGAAATGTATATAGGGGTACGTATCCATAATGAGCCTTAGTTGGATTTTTTCTGTAATACATATGCAAGCCTCATTAAAGCAAATATATTAATTCAAATACATTTAATTTATTACTAAAACGTATCAACACTTTCAGTGTTTTTAGGGTTGGATTTTAACCTACAATAATCCATAAAGATGTTTCAACAGACGTACAATTCTCAAATATGACCATTAAAATATTTACATTTACATTTAGTCATTTAGCAGACGCTTTTATCCAAAGCGACTTACAAATGAGGACAAGGAAGCAATTTACACAACCAAGAGCAACAATGAATAAGTGCTATAAGCAAGTTTCAGGTCTGTAAAGTCTAAGAAGGGAAGTATTAGTAGTATTAGTATTAGTATTTTTTTTTTTTTTTTGTACAGTTAGTGTGATATTCAGAGAGGCAATTACAGATTAGGAAGTGTAGTGGAGACTAAATAGTTGAGTTTTTAGTCGTTTCTTGAAAGTAGCGAGTGACTCTGCTGTTCTGATGCAGTTAGGGAGTTCATTCCACCAACTGGGCAGATTGAGAAATATGAAATATTTTGCTGAATGGTGACAAGTATGCATCCCTGCATCAATGCCGATGATCATAAAATATATGTGTTTAATTAAATATGCACTATGGAACCTATCATACATTCGGCGCAGTAAGGCGCTAGACATGTATGGTGCATTTTGCTATTTTCAGACCAGCGCAAGAGTAATTTTCATGTATTGCGCCACATTGTTTAAATACGTAGCAAATCCTTTTGCACCACTTTGTGGTCTCATGGGTGTGCTAGTATAAAAATGAGTTGTGTTTAGGCTCATCGTTGGCGCATTGCTGTTTTGAGGTACTGAAATAGACTACACCATTGACCAATTAAAAGCTGCTCTAAAGTCCAGCGCAAAGCATGTTGGTTATGCACCTATGCAGGTCCAAAATACGTACACATTGCTTGAAACACACAGGATGTAAAGCAATATCCAAATATCTTTGCTTATGATAAAAATAAAGGATGTTACAAAAGTTATGATTTTCTATATAAATATAAAAACGGCCTCCATGCCTTCTTCATCTCAGGGGGCTTTTTCAATTTATTCATGACAGTTTGCATTTGTATAATGTTATTAATTTTAGTAGTATTATTTATTGCATGTTTCTTTTTGTTTTAATAAAAACAAGTTAAGATTTGTTCACCTGTCCGGTTTTAGAAATGTATGCATAACCATATGGGGCAGGACGTGTGTTTGGATATAACTCAGTTGTTTGAGCATTCATTCATTGATTCATTTTCTTGTCTGCTTAATCCCTTTATTAATCCGGGGTCGCCACAGCGGAATGAACCGCCAACTTATCCAGCAAGTTTTTACGTAGCAGATGCCCTTCCAGCCGCGACACATCTCTGGGAAACATCCACACACACATTCACACACATTCATACTCTACAGACAATTTAGCCTACCCAATTCACCTGTACGGCTGTCTTTGGACTGTGGGGGAAACCGGATCACTCGGAGGAAACCCACGCGAACGCAGGGAGAACATGCAAACTCCACACAGAAACGCCAACTGAGCCGAGGCTCGAACCAGCAACTCAGCAACCTTCTTGCTGTGAGGCGACAGCACTACCTACTGCGCCACTGCTTCGCCTTGTTTGAGGACACTTCATTAATATTGTTGATTTATTTGTTTGCTGGAAATTAGAACAGAATTGAGAAATAGTTTTGAAATAAATCTTTGCACTTAACAACTAAATACGTAGGCTAATGGATGTCTTCAGTGGAGTGCGTACAACACTGTTTCCTTATCCACGAAAGTAATGGAGTATAGTAAAGAGTAAAAATAAAGTAAAGCGAAAGAAAGAGGCCGAATTGAGGAGGCTCGTTCTTTATCCTCATGCTGCAGATGGTCTGTTTAACTGTTTTTTTTTAATAGTGAAGCCTTCAGTTTTTCCATTTACAAAGTCCGCCATGTGAATAGAAGAAGCACGATCACATGACACATCTGACTGTTAAAGACAATGGGAGATGAGACTCGGATTGATTTCATGCATGTTATGTTCAAAACACACCCATAACTCATTAAGAGAAAAAGCATAACCATACACCAGGATGCAGACTGTATTTTTTCATCCTTAAAATGGCAAAAGTTCACATGGCCTGAATGCTTTTGCGGCATGCACTTTAGACTTTGTGCCT